AAAAGCTAATTTTCGGCCCCCCCCCCCCCCCCCGCCAGCATTTCCTCTGTCCTTTGACAAAGCTGATAGCAACATGTACAGGACCTTTGCAATGCAGATACATTCAGCATCAGACCTGGGATCTAGCCAGCCGCATAAGGCGATGTGAGACCCCAGAGGAGGAGGGAAAGAAAGGGAGTGCAAGAACTAGACCGCTACCCAACTCACCTTCGAGGTTGCCCCGAAGGGTGTGGAGGCTGAAGCCGGTGAAGGAGGCATTGACGAAGCCCGTCCCGTTGCCCTCGCCGCCGGGCAGCTGCACGGCGCGGGGACCCACCACGACGAAACTGAGGCAGACGGTGGCCAGGACCCCCATGACGATGACGAAGATGAGGAAGGTGGCTTTGGCGTAGATGTCGGCGCCCACCAGGCAGACGAGGAGGCAGAGGAGCAGGATGACGGTCCCGTAGAGCACCTCGAACCAGTAGCCGCTCGGGAGGATGTGGACTCGGCTACTCGCGTTGCCCTCTGCCGCGAGAACCAGTGGAGAGGTTAGGTTGCCAGTCAAGCATCCAATATGCTACTGCTCTAATCTGGGAGAACCGCGTTTGATTCCCCACTCCTCCACTTGCAGCTGCCGGATGACCTTGGGCCAGTCACAAGTTCTCTCAGAGCTGTTCTTTCAAGAGCAGTTCTTGGAAGAGCTCTCTCAGCCCCACCTACCTCACACCGGGTGTCTGTTGTGGGGTGGGGAAGGGAAAGGAGTTTTCCTTTGGGTAGTGAAGGGCGGGGTATAAAGCCAATCTCTGAATGGGTTGGATTGTCCCTGCCCCACATTGGAGGACTCTAAATAACATTTGGGGGGGGCGTGTCAGGCACAGTCTGATCCTACTTGAATCTCATATATCTATAAGAACATCAGAAGAGCCCTGCTGGATCGGACCAGTGGTCCACCTTGTCCAGCATCCTGTCTCACACAAGGGCCAGCTAGTTCCTCTGAAGGCCCAACAGGGCATAGAGGCCGAGGCCTTCATAAGAGCATCAGAAGAGCCCTGCTGGATCGGACCAGTGGTCCACCTTGTCCAGCATCCTGTCTCACACAAGGGCCAGCTAGTTCCTCTGAAGGCCCAACAGGGCATAGAGGCCGAGGCCTTCATAAGAGCATCAGAAGAGCCCTGCTGGATCGGACCAGTGGTCCACCTTGTCCAGCATCCTGTCTCACACAAGGGCCAGCTAGTTCCTCTGAAGGCCCAACAGGGCATAGAGGCCGAGGCCTTCATAAGAACATCAGTAGAGCTGATTGGACGGGGACCCTTACCTGAAAATTGTACTTAGGCACTAAATAGTTAGAATCCTAGAATCACCGGTGCTCCATGCAGGATCAGCCCAGAGCATCCCTGACCAGTGTTTGTCCAGTCAGAGCTTGAAGACTGTCAGGGAGGGGGAGCTCACCACCTCCCCAGGCAGCTGATTCCACTCTTGCACGATTCTACTGTAAAGAAGTCTTTCCTAATATCCAGCGGGGACCTTCCTGCCCTTAATTTAAACCCATCATTGCTGCCAACAGAAACAGCAAGAAGGGCAGGGAGGAGGAAGAGGAAGAAGAGGAAGAAGAAGAAGAAGAAGAAGAAGAAGAAGAAGGGCAAGAAGAAGAAGAAGGGCAAGAAGAAGAAGAGGAAGAGGAGGAGAAGGAAGAAGAGGAGGAGGAGGAGGAAGAGGAGGAGGAGGAAGAAGAGGAAGAGGAGGAGGAAGAAGATGAAGAAGAGGAAGAGGAGGAAGAAGAGGAAGAGAAGAGGAGATTGGATTTATACCCCACCCTTCACTATCCAAAGGTGTCTCAGAGCGGCTTACAAACTCCCTTCCCCTTCCCACCACAGACATCCTGTGAGGTAGGTGGAGCTGAGAGAGCTCTTTCAAGAACTGCCCTTGAGAGAACAGCTCTGACAGAACTGTGGCTTGCCCAAGGTCATCCAGCACCCTGCAAGTGGAGGAGTGGGAAAGCAAACCTGGTTCTCCCAGATTAGAGTCCGCGCACTTCACCACTACAACAAACTGGCTCTCTAAGTGACAGAGGATACTATTTTTCAGAAACAGAATCAATTTTAAACGATGTAAAATCCTAACCCACTAGACGGGACCCCCCTCCCCCTTCACTGCCCTCTTCTTCTTTTCCCTCCGTTAACTCTTTTTGTCTCTTGTCGGGTTTATATATTTTCTGTGTTTGCGTGCCTCTTTTGGTTGGAACATGACCATAACATAATGGCATTGTTTTTTAATATTTGACACAGGGTTATCAGATGGTTTGTTCTGTTCTGTTTTGTTGGGCCAATTATTTCGTGTGTGTAAAATAAAAATAAAAACTTTATTTTAAAAGAAGAACAGCAGCCAGAAGGGACTCCACTAACGTTTAACCTGCGCACGGATGAGGTGTGACGCCAACTGCAGAGTGACCTGGGACATGTCCATAATGGAAAAGATACTCGATCGTTTCTCCACAAGCAATGATAGCTCCGATATGTCTGTCTCTATTCAAACTTGGTTCCCGGTAATTGAGTTTATCTGTGCTAATGACTTGCTTCTCAATGGATCACATCCAATTGATACGTTGATATTATAATCAGTGTTCCCTCTAAGCTGAGTTCGTGTGAGCTAGCTCACATTTTTTTTAGCCTCTGGCTCACAGATTTTTGTCCTAGCTCAGGAAGGACGGCTCCAGAGCAGACTAATTTATGGAGGAGCCAAATGGCTCGCTCACCACTTTAATGCCAGGAGCTCACAAAGTAGGATTTTTGCTCACAAGACTCCACAGCTTAGAGGGTGCATTGATTATCATCCCTCCTCTTTTTGTTTTTGCTATGAGGGTATAATGGCTTCGTACTAGTTTTTAAAATATATATTTGCTCTAGATTTTACTTACAAATTATAGCTTTTAGTAATATTGTTGCTATAAACATGTCTATTTATGAAAACATACTAGTTTTAAACGTTTTCTGTATATATTTTCAAAGTTTGGCTTGGCTTACGTTTTGCCTTGAATGTTCCAGATGTTACTGTTTTCCTGATATTACTTCCTGTGTTGTTCATTATTTGTATCTTGTGTATTTTTAAGTAACTCTGTAATCTAACTAGAGATGTGAAGGCCCGGAAAAAAACGCAGAAAGATTAGGGAAAAAAACGTTTTTTCCCGTTTTTTTCCTGAAGCCTTTTTATTTTTTTCTGAAAAATTGAAAAAAGAAAAAAAAATTGATTATGGAACGTTTTATTTTAACATGATGAATAA